TTCCTGCGCACAGACACGTCGCTGCCGCCGTTCTACATCCTCGTGTACGTCGACGACTTGGTCTTTGCTACTGCTGACACTGAGGCACTCGCTCGTGTGAAGTCGGAGCTGCAGAAGAGACACACCTGCACTGACCTGGGTGAGCTGCGTAGCTACCTTGGCTTGCAGATCACCCGGGACAGAGCACGCCGCACCATTACCCTGACTCAGTCACACATGGTGCAGCAGGTCCTTCAGCGCTTCGGCTTCCAGTTCTCCTCACCACAGACCACACCTCTGGCTACCAGCCACTCGCTCTCAGCTCCACCTTCGGACGAGTCCGTAGAGCCGAGTGGCCCGTACCCAGAGCTTGTAGGCTGCCTCATGTACCTGATGACTTGCACGCGACCTGACCTCGCGTACCCTCTTAGCATCCTTGCTCGTTACGTTGCGCCTGGGAGACACAGGCGAGAGCACTGGGAGGCTGCTAAGAGGGTGCTGCGTTACTTGTGCAGTACATCAGGCATGGGGCTGGTGCTTGGAGGACGCGACAGAGTTGTCCTCACTGGTCACTCGGACGCTTCTTGGGTGGACGACCTGGCTACGCAGCGGTCGTCGCAGGGTTACACCTTCAGCCTTGGCTCTGGTTCTGTCTCGTGGCAGTCCACCCGCTCTTCTTCTGTTCTCAGCTCTAGTTGTGAGGCTGAGATCTACGCCACGGCCATGGCTGCGCAGGAGTTACGCTGGCTCACCTACCTGCTGACTGACTTGGGAGAGCGGCCTAGTTCTCCTCCAGTTCTGTACGGCGACAACAAGGCGGCCCTTGCCTTGTGTCAGGAGCACAGACTGGAGCACAGGACGAAGCACATTGCTCTTCGCTACTTTCTTGCTCGAGAGCTGCAGCAGCGCGGTCAGCTTCGGCTTGTGTACGTGGACTCGAAGGCCAACACTGCTGATATCTTCACCAAGGCGCTCCCGCCTAGTGATCATCAGCGGCACTGTACTTCTTTAGGCCTTGTGTCCACATTCCCTCATTTGCTTACTGCTTGACTTTCTTTGTACTGTACTTTATATATATCTTGTTGCTTGCTTGCTAGGTTTTGATCACTGTGTTGCTTGTCTTGTACTATATCTAGCACTGCATGTGAACTGGCCTTGTGGCCTCTGCTTGTGCTCGGAGTGTGGTGACATTGTGATCCACCCTGGGCTTGCGTTGCTTTGCTGGACTGGTCTTGTGACCCTTTGTTCTCCCCCACTTTGCCTATGGGGGTGTGTTAAATTGTAATGTGTTAAATGTTGGTAGGCTGTAGTGGGGTAGCCAATATGGGGTACAACCCCAACTAGGGTTTGCTACTTGTACCCAACTGTTTCATTCAATGCACCATTCTTGCCTAGTCCTGTTGACTGTAGACTCTGCTTGTACTGTGATCTCTATATATATACCTGCATGCTTGCTCTTGCTAGGTAGAGATCGCAGTGTTGTTCTTGTTGCATATATAATTCTGCATGTGAACTGGCCTTCTGGCCCTTTGCTTGTGCTCAGAGTGTGTGGTGACGTTGTGATCCACCCTGAGCTTGCTTTGCTTCTCTAGACTGGTCTTGTGACCCCTTGTTCTCCCCCACTTTGCCTATGGGGGTGTGTCAAACTATATATGTTATACTTGTGTAGGCTATAGTGGGGTAGCCAATATGGGGTACAACCCCTCTAGGGTTTGCTACTTGTACCCAACCTTCTTTCAATGCAATCATTCTTGCCTAGACATTCTAACAGAAGTGACCTCGAAAGGCTCAGCCAAGGGGAGTGGGTCTACCTGAGACACACCTGAAGGAGCAGGACCCTGAGGGGGGAGGGGGTCTACCGGAGGGGGACCTGGAGCGAGGAAGAGCGGCGAGGGTGGGGGAGGGGCAGTGCGGTAGGGGAAGAGACGGTAAAAAGGAACCGACTCGTCAAACGTGATGTCCTGAGAGGACAGAATACGGCGCGAGGTGGGGTGGTAAAATTGCCAGCCAGGCGCGTCAGGGGGGAAGCCAAGGAAGACACAGGGAATGGCGTGGAAGGAAACAGAGCTTGTCCGCGGAGGTATCGCGGACAAAGGCACGAGCGCCCCAGACCCGGAACACTGACGCATCGCCAACCTCCCCCGTCCAACGCAGTGTCGGCGAGGTCTCCGGCAAGGAGACACGGGGCCAGAGGTTGAGCTGATGCGCAGCGTATCGGACCGCAAACGACCACAGAAAATGGGGAGCAGCCGCATGGATCATGGAGGTACGAGCGACCTCCATGACTAAGCCAATGCGGCGCTCAACAACCTCATTATGCTGCGGGGAGGCCGAAAGCGTGAACGACTGGAGGATGCTCTTCCCCTGACAAAAGGTCCGCAAGAGGTCGGAGGAAAACTCACCACCTCTGTCAGAGTGCAGACGCAGGACAGGAAGGTCCGAGCGGAACCGCTCGTGGAGCTGGAGATGGACTACGCGGATCCAAGGGATCAAGACATCAAGGACCTCACCCTTGGTGCGCAAGGGGAAGACCGTGGTGTAATGCGTGTAGTCGTCAACAACGAGCAAAAAGTACCGCTCGCCGTCCTGTCCACGGACGCGGGTTGGGCCCCACACGTCCATGTGGAGAGTCTGCAGGGGAGCCTCTGTCGGGGGGAACGAGGAGGAGTGAGGAGCGGCGCGCTGCCGCTCCTCGACGCAATGAATGCAGGGTGGAGTAGGGGAGCGCGGAAGGGAGGGCAGAGACCTGGGAAGACCAGAGACAAGGAGGCGGGAGTGCATGCCACGGAGGCGTGGCAGGGAGGGGTGACCAAGGTGGTGGTGCCAGAGGAGAGTTTGGTGTAAAAGATGGCGACATGAGCAGGGGGCTGCTGCCTGACCGGACGGGACACCTGACCAGACGCAGCTACCTGGGGAGGCTCAGTAGTCAGTGTGTACAGGCTTGACCCAGGACGACGGGTGAACGTGGCTAAGTGACGGCCTGTCCGTGAACACGTGCAGATCGCCACACACTGTCCTCCGTGGCTAAGGGTATCAACCCAAGCATCATAAAGGACGGCGTTACTCACCAAGTTCGTAGAGAACGAGGGGAGGTGAAGGCCTGTCACTGAGCCAGATGAAACTGCCGGACACAGTAGAAGAGTGGTGGAACGAGCTAAAACTGGGCCCCCTGAGGGGTCAGCCAGAGAGACTGCCACAGGTGCATGGAGTGGTGTGAGTGTGGTACTGTCAGACTCGAAAGAAGGAGCGGGAAGCACCTGAGTCAAGCGTGAAGGTGTGCAAGGCCTCAGCAGGCGCAGTACTAGAGAGAGCAGACTCACTAGCACCTAGAGCAGCAGCCTCTATACCTGGGTCGGGCAGCACACACGGGTAACAGTCGCCCTTAGTACCAGCAGTCAAAGCATACATGGCAGTAAGGATAGCGTCATAGTCTAGAGAAAATATATATTCTCTGTCTTGCAGCAGCTCTAGCCAGAGGGGTAGCTCAGCCTCGTCGCCAAACTGTGCTCGCCAGGCGTCGCTCATACTGGAGAAGCAGCGGGACTGTGTGTGACTAATTGTCCCGCAAGCCTGACCAGCCCGATCACCTGTGCGAATGACGTACAGGCAGCGAGCAGTAGTCCTACACCCCCAACTCTGAGCGTACCACTCATGCAGCTGCCGGGGCGTAAGGGTCTCGCTCGGACGCTGCTGCAGCTGCATCTGGCCACCGCCAGAAACTCCGCACTGACCAGCTCCACCGCGACTGCCACGACGGCCGCCGCCAGCACACCACCTGGCGTACCACTCACGAAGCTGCTGGGGCGTAAGGGTCTCGCGCGGACGCCGCTGCAGCTGCATCTGGCCACCGCCAGAACCTCCCCACCAAACAGCTCCACAATGTCTGCTACTACGACCGCTACCACTCCCACTGCTGCCACCACCGCCGTCACCACTCCCACCGCTACTACGAAGTGAAGTCATAGCGGGCAAGCAAGGAGGCGCGCGACCAGTAGGGCAGTACGGAGGGAAGGCAGTAGCACGAGCAGCAGCAGCAGCAGTAAGAGCAGCAGAGCGGCTCGGTGAGGCTAGGCTGCAGCACCTCCAGCACTCCTAGCAGCACCTCCACTAGCAGCAGCAACAGTAGCACGAGCACCAGGGCGGATCGGGTTGGGCAGGGCGGCTCGGGCTGGGCAGCGCGGCTCGGCCTGGGCGGCGCGGGCAGCAGGGCGCGCGCTGTGCAGGGCAGCAGGGCGCGACGCGCGGGCTGCAGCAGGGCGCGACGCGCGGGGCAGCAGGGCGCGACGCGCGGGCTGCAGCAGAGCACGATGCGCGGGGCAGCAGAGCGCGACGCGTGGGCAGCCGTAGGGCGCGACCCGCAGGGCAGTAGGGCGCGACGTGCGGGCTGCAGCAAGGCGCCACGTGCGGGCTGCAGCAAGGCGCGACGCGCGGAGCAGTAGAGCGCGACGCGTGCGCTGCAGCAGGGCGTGACGCGCAGGGCAGCAGGGCGCGGGCTGCAGCAGGACGCACGGCAGGGCAGGGCGTGCGCGGGGCAGCGCGACGCGGGGCAGGGCAGGGCGTGCGCGGGGCAGCGCGACGCGGGGCAGGGCAGGGCGTGCGCAGGGCAACGCGACGCGGGGTAGGCAGGGCAGGGCGTGCGCGGGGCAGCGCGACGCGGGGCAGGGCAGGGCGTGCGCGGGGCAGCGCGACGCGGGCCAGGGCGTACACGGGCAATGTGACGCAAGGCAGGGCAGGGCAGGGCGCGCGCTGACGGCGCAGCGCAGGGCAGAGCGTGGGGTAATACGGTAACCGCAGTCGGTCACTAGGTAATGGTGGGCCCGAAAAAAAACGGTCCTACGGACCTACTGCTCTGAAACCATGTCAGAAACTAACGAGCAGGAATGATTGCATTGAGCAGAATGTGGGTACAAGTGCAAACCCTAAACTGGGTTGTACCCTATATGGGCTACCTTACTACAGCCTACACAGCACAAACATGATAACAGTTTGACAAGAGGGCGCAAGGACCAGCAACAGTGCGACTACCAGCGGGGAGAAACGTTGACACTGAGGAAGCCGCGGCGCATCTTCCCAGCAGTGCAGCGCAGGGCGTCGAGAAGGAAGGACCAGGACGACCCGAGCGCCCCGATGAAGTAGTCGGCCTCGCCCGCCAGCAGCAGATTCACAAACGCGTTGTCCGTGCTGCGCTGCACGCCCAGCGCTCTCTCGTACGCTGGCATGCTGTCGTTGCCCGCCATGCGCGGCACATCCGTGGCGAACCACGTCCACCCGCCCATGCCGCTCAGCTGCTCCACCACCTGGTGTGCCGTGATGGTGGCGCAGGGGACACACAAATCTGTGTGTGCAATTCAAACTTCGTTGGTGGACTGTGTCAGTGTTTCACTGTGACCCAAGTCACCCGCATTCAACCCCCAGGCAGGCAGCATGGTGGTGACTCACGGGCTGCATCTCGGTGACTCACGGGCTGCATCTCGGTGACTCACGGGCTGCATCTCGGTGACTCACGGGCTGCATCTCGGTGGCGAGCCACACATAGCGAGCATGGGGGTCGTGGCGGCGCACACGCAGCAGCAGGCGCACGTACTCCGCTGTGCCCGCCACGCGCATCTCACGCCCCTTATCACCCATGCGCACGTGCATGCTCACCAGCGCCCGCGCCACCCACGGCACCCGCTCCCGCCACCACAGCTGCCGCTCCATGGGGCCTGGGGGAGGCCATTGGGGGACGAGGGGGAGGGTGGGGGGGGAGGGGGAGGTGGGGTTGGGAAAGAGAGCGGGTGCGGGGGGTTACCTGTGTGCAGTGGTGACCTGTGCACTAGTGCAGCTGACGAGCGAGGGAGGTGCGGCGTGCTGCACGCACAGTGGGCGGCTGTGGCACTCCGTGGGAGGAGGGAAGGCGTGCCAAGAGAGGGGATAATGGCGATGAGACAAGGGAGGGAGCACAAGGAAAGAGGGTTGGTGCAATAGGCATGGAATGAGCAGCATGAACGATGACTCAACGGACCCCCAGTCAAACACAAGGGGACCATGCGTGGTAATGTGTGGCAGCTGCAACACGTGGGGGGCATGGCTTAGGGACTTGGGGGGCATGAGATGGCAGGGCGTGCAGCATCTGAGCAGGTGTGATGGTCCACAGCGAGCTGCTGTCAGACGGACCAGCGGTGAGTGCAGCAGAGGCACGCAACCCAGTGACTGCCATTTCCCCATCTCCTCCACCAGCACCTCCCTCTGCTACTGCAGCGTCCGCCTGAGCTGCAGTCACTTCAGCCTGTGCTAGTGCCACGTCAGCCTCAGCAGCCGCGAGTTCAGCCTGCGCGACGGCAGCAGCAGCGAGGCGGCCGAAGGAGAGGTGGCGCTGCGCGTTGAGCAGCCGGCAGAGGCGCGGCGAGGGCGCTCTCAGAAAGAAGCGCGCCGCCTGGGCGCGCCACCAGCGGTAAGTGTTGCTGCGGAGGGGGGGGGGGGAGGAGGGGGGTGGGGATGAGGGGAGAGCAATTCGTGGTGCAGCGTGTAGGGTGTTTGGGTGTGTTAGAGCAAGCACTAGCCTTACGCGATGCGTTGAGGGGGGAACATGCCATGGAGGGAGGGAGGGAGGGAGGGAGGGAGGGAGCGAGGGAGGAAGGTAGGGGGGAAGGGCGGGAGGGAGGGAGTGAGGGAGGGAGGGAGGGAGGGAGGGAGGGAGGGAGGGAGGGAGGGAGGGAGGAAAGGAGGGCGGAAAAGAGGGAGGGAGGGAGGGAGGGAAAGAGGGAGAGAGGGAGGGAGGGAAAGAGGGAGGGAGGGAGGGAGGGGGATGAGGGGAGGGCAATGCGTGGTGCAGCATGTAGGGTGTTTGGGTGTGTTAGAGCAAGCACTAGCCTTACGCGATGCGTTGAGCGGGGAACATGCCATGGAGGGAGGGAGGGAGGGAGGGAGGGAGGGAGGGAGGGAGGTAGGAAGGTAGGGGGGAAGGGGGAGGGAGGGAGGGAGGGAGGGAGGGAGGGAGGGAGGGAGGGAGGGAGGGAGGGAGGGAGGGAGGGAGGGAGGGAGGGAGGGAGGGAGTGAGGGAGGAAAGAGGGAGGGAGGAAAAGAGGGAGGGAGGAAAGAGGGAGGGAGGGAGGGAGGGAGGGAGGGAGGGAGGGAGGGAGGGGGGGAGGGAGGGAGGGAGTGAGGCGAGGAGGGAGGGAGGGAGGGAGGGAGGGAGGGAGGGAGGGAGGGAGGGAGGGGGGAGGGAGGGGGGGAGGGAAGGAAAAAAAGGGGGGGAGACGGCGGACTTCATGTGGTTGGTGACGATGAGGCGCCCCTCCGCCTCCACCACGCCTGGGATGGCGAGCCACGGCTGCCCCCAGCGCGTGGGCAGCAGCGGGAAGAACAGACGCCGCGTCCCCCTTTCACGCCGCTGCTGCCTGCCGCCCGACTCCTCTCCCCCTGCATCCTCCCCCTCTGCCCCCTCCTCCTCCCCTCTGCCCTGCTCCCCCCATCGTCCTCTCCTGAACTCCCCGCCTGTTTTAGGGGCTGTGGGGCGGCGAGGGAGGGGTGCTTGGTGGTGGCGAGCAGCGGGTGGGGGCCCTGGAACGATGCGCCGTGCATGGCCAGGGCGTGTGCGCGCCTGGCAGGAGGACAGGGAAGGAATCGGTGGGGTTGAGAACAGCAGTGCAGCGCGAATGGGCGGGCTTGCATAAAATTGGAAAACCCTTAAACGTAACCAACACCTGCCATACCTTCGGTCCTGCCCTGCCTCAACACTTCACCAGCAACACGCCTCACTGCCTGCATGCCTCACCGCCTGCACTGGTCTCACCGCCTGCACTGGTCTCACCGCCTGCACTGGTCTCACCGCCTGCACTGGTCTCACCGCCTGCACTGGTGGGACGTCTCTGGGAGGAAGTAGCAGCGCCACTCGCCGCGCATGCCCTCGCGCGCACACCCCTCGTGCTCCGCGCGCTCAAAACCCCCCACCAGCCCCACGCCCCCGCGCCCCTTGCCCCTGGCCCCCGCGTGCGCAATGATTAGCACTCTCCCACTGCGCACGGCCATTGCCAGCGCGCCCGCCAGCAGCGTCATCTGCGTGCCCAGCCCGTGCCGCCTGCTCTGCCCCACCGGCGCTAACAGGAACCTGCACCGGGCGACGGGGACGGGGACGGGGACCGGCGGAGACAGGCAGGGACGCTGAGGGCAGGCGGCACAGCGCATGGGGCATGCTCAGCGCACAGCTCAGCCCCCCCAGCCGTGGATACAGCGTGCTACTCGCCTTACAGCGGGGTGGGAGCAGTTGCGCGGGAACTGGTGGCGCCAGAGGTCGCGCTGCACGAGCCGCGTGAGCGGGTAGTTGTCCGCGTCCGCGCCCTCCACCCACGGCGGAAACGGCCCCTCCACCGCCGCCCCCTCCCCGCGCGCCTCTCCTCCGCGCTCCGCCACATCCTCTCTCCGCACTCCCCCTGCGCTGCTCCCGCCTATCTCACTCTCCCTCATGCCCCCTTCCCCTTCCCCCCCTTTTTCCCCCTCCCCATCTCCCTCCCTCTCCCCCTCCCCATCGTCCGCATAGCGTCGGAGGTCGGCCCAGGGAGGGTCGGAGCCATCGGCGGGGCGGCTGGCCCAGTGCTCCTCCACGTACACGCGCGCATTCGCCGCGCAGTCCGCCAAATGCGGCGCCGGAACCAGCGCCGCTGGCGGGGCTGCGAATTCGGTCGAAAGTGACGCGACGCTCTGACTGGAGCCTTCAGTGTCAGCTGCGACGGTCAGAGGCGACTCTGCGAGTTGAGCAGCCCATGAGGCCAGCAGTTCGTCAACTCGTCGCTGAAGCTGCTCGTGCGACGCTGGCGACTCGTGCGATGCTGGCGATCCCTTCTGCTCCCCAAGCGACTCCAGCCTATACTGCTCGTCGACCGCGTGGATCGCGATGTGCTCCACGGCGACGGGCTGTCGCAAGAGGAGGAGGAGAAACGCGGCGACGGGGAGGCACAGAAGCGCGGCGTGGAGCGGCGAGCGGAGGAAGGAGACGAGGGGCTTGGGTGCGGCGAGCGACAGGAGGGATGCGAGCGGCAGCGCAGTTGGAGCGGGAGGCGGGTGGGTCGCCGCGATGGTGGACGCCACGCGGTCACTGCCAGCTCCGTTCCTCTCGGCGGCTCCCTGGCTCTGCGCTTCCGACGCCAGCATTGCACACACGTACTCTTACTATGAAAGTATAAATTTTTGTGAGTCGGTACGTACTGATCGCAGGCGCGACGTGGACCTGTGAATACTAAATCATCCATCCATGCGCTGCCAAGTCGCCCCGTCGACAGACGGTGAGGGAAGAGCAAGGATGACTGATAATTCTTTCGCCTTAGTTCGTGAAAGTCGATGGAGCTGACCGAAATCTGTCTCTGGGTTCCGGAACCGAATGTATATTTTAGGGCTTAGTATACACCGAAGAGCAAGCATATACAACGAAAATGGTCGTAATCGCGCTCGAGGAAACGGAAGGAAAAAAAAAAACTTCTTCCGGATAGGATTCTCAGGGCGTGTTGGGTTTTGCCCTCTGGCTGGATCAGATTTCTACGAAGCCACTTGTCCATTTCAAACGATTGCAATTCACCTCTATTTTTCGCCGCATGTTCCACGGGTTTTTAGTTTCCCCGGAAGGCTTACTGTAGCTGTCCTTCTTTCAAGGGACTTTCATCTCAGCTTGCGCACACTTTCCGCTGATCCGCTTCTGAGGCGGAAGAGTTATTGTGCTAACACAGAACTCGGCTTCTCCGCACGTCACGCAAGCACTGTTTTCATCGGGTGTCTTCTGCCAGCAAGCACAAAACTAAACCCCTCTCGGGTGGCAAGTTTTCGAGGGCATCAACCCTAAACTCCACGCGATTAGGTGTTTAGGATTGATGCCCTTTATTTACATGCCAACCAAGAGGGATTATTTTTGGCATCAACCCTAAACACTTAGTCGCAGTGTTTAGGGTTGATGCCCCCTATCACTTGCCAGCCGAGAGGGATTTAGTTTAGTGCAGATTAGAGAGGAAAAAAAAAACAAATTCTGTTGTGCATCGTTTGCCTGACTAGTAGCAGCTAAGGCCTTACGAGATGATGACACGTGGGTAAACGTGGAGCCGAGTTCTGTCCCAGCGCAATAAGTCTTCTGTCTGGGCGTCGAAACCTGGGAAACTCTGTGCAGGTAGAGATGAAGCTCCCTAGAAAGCGCAGGTTCGGAAGTACCCCTTCCGCAATAACTAGAAACCCATGTTCCACTCCTCCAAGAAGCCCCATTGCTTCTGCTTCCGACACGTCACACCTGTAAGGAATTTTGCCTAAATCCTTACTGAGGCATCCCATGCGCATACAAACTCCAACTTTCGGAGTTAAGGCTCGGTCCAACGACCTCGGCTTCCGAACGTCCCTCGCGTCGCCTTCGAGTTTCCCAACCCGGACCTGTACCCAACCATCCCGCGACTCCGCGACCTTAGCCTAGCTAGCCTCGCTATATTTTGCTAGGTCCCATTATTTGCTGATACTTTGTAATCACTTTCAAGTTAATGCATTCTGCGCACTCTTCTTATTTACAATCCATAAGAATACCGAACTTGTGGGTGTACAGTTTCACATGCTGCCAAAATATGTTGTGTCCGGGATCTGCGGCCTCGGAATACAGGTAATCAACGCTCGAGCCACAATTGGTGAAATGCCATTGCTGTTATAGTCGGCACCGGAAATGCTAGGCTAGTACCGGTTTTCCGGAGCAAGAGGTCCCCCAGCGATGATGTCGTGCGGTCGGGATTAAGCATGCACATGGTGCGCCTGAGAGGAGTGGAAACCACTTGAAACTAAGGGCAAAGCAAAAGGCAATGTTCCAATGTCTCCAGGTCTCTTCAGCACGGGCAGACGGGCTTGCTGTTCATAAAGTCATGCGCTCTCCCACTTGCAAATTCAAGCCGTGGATAAAAAAAAGCATTGTCGAGAGAGAGAGAAGCAAGAATGGGTGGATTAGGTCAAGGGTGGGGGTACAAGCAAGAGTGTCGAGGTAAATTGTGTACCCCCTAGGGCTAGCCCCTATATAGCATAGATAACATAAAAAACACATGTTTTGACACACCCCCATAGGCGAAGTGGGGGAAAGCCAGAGAAAACAAGGGTCACAAGACCAGTCAAGAAAACCAAAGCAAGCTCAGGGTGGATCACGAAGTCACCACACATTTCGAGCACAAGAAAATGGCCACAAGGCCAGTTCACATGCAGAGCAATATAAGAGAGAACAAACAGTATAGTAATCACTACCTAGCAAGTGTAAGCATGCAGGAATATATATAGATCACAGTACAAGCAAAGTCACGCAGTGAGCAAGTGAGACGAAGCAGGCACAAGGCCTAAAGCAGTACAGAAACGCTAATGATCACCAGACGGAAGTGCCTTGGTGAATATGTCAGCAGTGTTGGCCCGAGTGGCCACGTAAGCAAGACGAAGCTGACCACGCTGCTACAACTCTCGAGCAAGGAAGTAATGCAGAGCGATGTGCTTCGTTCTGTGCTCCAGTCTGTGCTCCTGACACAAGGCAATAGCGGCCTTGTTGTCTACGTACAGAATTGGAGGAGAACGAGGCCGCTCTCCCAAGTCGGTCAGCAAGTAGGTGAGCCAGCGTAACTCCTGTGCAGCCATGGCTCCTGCGTAGATCTCAGCCTCACAACTGGAGCTGAGAACAGAAGACGAGCGGGTCGACCGTTAAGAAACAGAGACGGAGCCAAGGCTAAACGTCTAACCTTGTGACGACCGTTGCGTAGCCAGGTCGTCAACCCAAGACGCGTCTGAGTGTCCAGTGAGGACAACTGGACCCCGTCCTCCAAGCACGAGCCCTATGCCCGATGTACTGCACTAGTAATGCAATACCCTCTTCGCAGCATCCCAGTGCACCTTTCGGTGTCTACCGGGAGCCACGTAGCGTGCCAGGATGCTAAGAGGGTACGCAAGGTCAGGACGAGTGCAGGTCATCAGGTACATGAGGCAGCCCACAAGCTCTGCAAACAAGCTGCTCGGCTCTACGGACTCGTCCGAAGGTGGAGTTGAGAGCGAGTGAACGGTAGCCAGAGGAGTGGACTGTTGCGAGGACCAAGTGAAGTTGAAGCGCTTAAGAACGTGCTGCACCATGTGTGACTGAGTCAGGGTGATGGTGCGCCGTGCTCTGTTCCCGGTGATATGCAAGCCAAGATAGCTGCGCAACTCACCCAGGTCTGTGCACGTGTGTCTCTTCTGCAGCTCCGACTTCACAAGGGCGAGTGCCTCAGTGTCAGAAGTAGCAAAGACCAAGTCGTCGACGTACACGAGGATGTAGAACGGCGACAGCGAAGTGTCGGTGTGCAGAAAGAGCGACGGGTTGGCAGTCGAAGGAGCAAACCCTAGAGCCGCAAGTGTCGTCCTCAGTGTGTCGTGCCACTCATGAGGCGCCTGGCGGAGACCGTAGACTGGCCGCCGGAGGCTCCACTGAGTAGTTGCAGGAAACGACCCAGTGAAGCCAGGTGGGCGGCGCAGCCAGATCTCCTCGTGCAGGCTGCCTTGTAAGAAAGCTGTGTTGAAGTCAAGAGAGTGAAGCTCGTAGTCACGCTAAGCGGCAACGTGCAGCAGCACCCGAAGAGTGGTCATCTTCGGGGTGGGGGAGAAGGTCTGGAAGAAGTCAACTCCCTGACGCTGACTAAAGTTGACAAGAATGGGTGGATTAGGTCAAGAGAGCTGACTTCTTCCAGAATGGGTTAGGGCGAGAGAGAAGCAAGAATGGGTGGATTAGGTCAAGGGTGGGGGTACAAGCAAGAGTTTCAAGGTAAATTGTGTACCCCCGAAGGCTAGCCCAGAGAAGAGAAGAGATAAAACACCAAGAGCATGAGGAACTATTCCTTCTCTTGCAGCAGGAACAGGCTCGGATCACCTCGCTCTTCTTGAATCCCCCAGCCAGCAGTGTCTCCTCTAGCTTGTGGTACCATGCACGAGGAGCCTGCTTCAGGCCATAGATGGCCTTCTTCAGCCTGCACACTCTGCCACTCCCATCATCCAATCTCTCAGGCTACAGCATGTACAATTCCTCCACGATGATTCCATTGAGGAAAGCAATTGAAACATCCATGAGCTTGATCCTCCATCCACGGTTTGCAGCCGACGACAATAACACCCTCAGTGTTGTCCCTTTCCCCACAGGAGCAAAGATCTGCTGAAACCCCTTAGCCACAAGCCTTGACTTGTAGCAGGTCAGCGCTCCATACTTATGCCTAAAGATTAGCTTGGAAGAAATGGCCTTCTTCCCAGGAGGCAGCTCACATAGCTTCAACGTCTCGTTCTCCAGCAGAGAGTCGTACTCCTCCTTCACACTCTCCTTCCACTTTTCAGCAACGGCCTTTGAGCGTCCGATCGAATTTCAGCTCAACGGCCGATATCTGACGAGAATTTTGGCTAAGGGAGAATTACGCGACCAACAAAAACAGCGCTCGTAATTTTCACAGTCGATTCGACTCGCAGTAGGCCAGCCAGCGCCAAGATTGTAATTATGTCTGTCGCAAATCTTCCTATGAATCGCCAAATGGAGGTTTACGATGATAATTCCGTACGAAAAATTACGGAGTTACGCACCGACGTGGACCAGATGCGAGCGGCACTCCAGCGATTAGAGGAGCTCCTCGCGAACCAGTCGGCAGCCGCCACAGCAGCAGCGAACGTAGCAGCGAATGCAGCAGCGACAGCAGCAGCAGCAGCGGCGACACCGACACTTCACCCAGCAGCAGCCACAGTGAATCTTGAGGTGGCTTGCCGAGGCTACCGGAGACGTTCAATCCGAATGCGAGAGACACCGACGTCCGTCGATTCATTGCGACCCTCGAAATTTACTTCGAGGCCATTGGCTGTACGGCCCCGATACACGATGCAATGCGGATTCGGCTCGCAGCGACACTGTTGCGAGGCCCGGCGCTCGAGTGGATTTACAACAGTAAGGAGATCCGAGGCGAGGGGTCATGGACGCAGTTTCGGGCCGCTTTAATTTAACGTTTCGAACGGATCAATTCCAGTTATGTGGCGCGACAGGAGATTCATTGGTATAAACAGTTCGGTAGTGTAACACAGTACACGCAGCAGATGGAGAGCCTCTTCAACCGAATTACCGACCTGACCGAAGGGGAAAAAATCCAAGCGTATACTGAGGGGCT